AGCAGGCAGCTCTAAAAACAGACAGATGTCAAGGCCACTCAATAGTGTGCCTGAAAAGGTAGGCTACCCATCCATCAACTGGCTAATCAGTGTTGACTGAATGCCAGCTAGGGAAAGAACTGCTCTTAGATCCTGAGGCCTTTCATCAAATCAATTATATCTGTTCTACACATTATTGATGCTCATTAAGTGTGTGATATTTTCTACCATTTTTTTGGTAATTTGGGTTATCATTATTTTGTTGGGCCAAATGTCATTCTCTGATCGCAAGCTAGAATAAAAGTATACTTTGCAAAATTTTCAACTGTGTTTCAGATATATCCCTGGAACTTAAATACTGCATATAGTTATTGAATGGTACACAATGGGATGAATATATTACAAAATACAGTCAAGCATGGGGCAGGACATTCTCACATATTGAAAGTAGAGCTGCATATGTATGAATCATGTTTTCATAAACAGTGCTTGGCTTGGAACATTAAATATATTCTGTCAGAAATGCACACTAGAAGGAAAACAGATTAATCAGTAAGAACCCAGGCTGTGATAGCATGCTTTAAAATGGTTGTGAAAACCCAGGGGGCACATGCCACTATTGAATGTGGTTTCCTGTCCAAGGAATACATTTTAGTTGCTTGCTTGAGGGTCCTCTGTTGTATTTTCTTCTTTCCACAGTAATGGGTTCTTGGGATAGATGGCTCCTGCCACTGCTGATTTCTGTGCAGCAATTGCTCCTGGGATCTAACTAGCCTCAGTGGCAGGTGGCATGGCTGGAATCAATAGCAGCATGCTCCTTCTGGACCCGCAGCAGGCAACTTCATTGGAGACTTAGTGCATGCTGGGATGATAATTGCTCAGGAGACCATGGAGAGGAATAGAGTTGGCACATTACATTTGATGCCCATGTCCAGAAAGACACCTAAAGGGGCAGTGGGATGTCCCTGTGGTGGTACAGATGGCCAAGGCTTTGGTGGAACAAGAGCAGATCTTGTGCTGGCCAAGGACAGATGCTGAGCTCAAGGCTCCTGTGCCTCTTTCTGGGTGACAACTTTATTTGGGTTCAGACCCTCATCTGTGACCCTGGCTCAGTTTCTTACCCAGCCACAAAGCCTGTCCTCTTCTTTCTTTTAGCAGCCTGTCTCTCCTCCTCCACAAACCCTTCTCAGGATATTGCTCTTGGCACTGTCTTTTATATCTAGATCAGATGTCCGGGGCACTCCTCGAATGTATTCTGTATCTCTCTTTCATCTTCTTTGTTCCCATTTCCAACTCTACTTATGATCTTCATTCAATTCCTGGAACAATGAGCCCCCCTCTGGCATCAAAATTTTCCCTCACCATATATTAATGGTGTGATCTTGTAAAATGGTGTAAGCTGTATGCTTAGGGATCATTCTGGTTATTCACAGACATGATAATTAAATGAACACATACAAAACATTAAGACTGGGCCTTAGAGATAGCAAGGTTAGTTCAATGTAGCTTCTTGCGTACTGTTAGCCTTGGATCCAGCCAGTGTTGTGGTGATTCAAGCATGCATATCTGTCTCATAAATGTGGCAAGCTCCTCCGAAGTTTGCATAGCAAAACCAGTGCTTTCATGAGTACTGAACTCAACTCCCACATCTATTCATTGCCTCTTCTATGCCTTCTACATTTTAAGTTATTTCTCATGGTAATGTTATGGTTGGTACAGGAAATGTTCCCAACAAGCTTATGTGTTGAAGGCTTGTCCACCAGCTGGCATCATTTTCTTTGTGTGTGGGGGGAATGAAAGAAACTAGAAGGTGAGGTCTAGCTGGAGGAGGCCTTACACTTGGGTGCTAGATTTGCCCTGGCTTTTTCTTGTCTCTGCTTCCTGTCAGCTATAAGGCAAACTGCCTCTGCTCAGCTAAACCCCTGCCACCATGATATTATGCCTCTCCCAGGGCCCATGGAACTGAAAGTCTTCATACCTGTGAGCTCAAGTAAAACTTCCCTACTTTTAGATTGTTTCACTTAGATATTTGACATAATGACAAAAGTCTGACACATACTAGAATAGAAAAGGTATATAAAAATTGAGCGAACTCTCATCTCTCAGCTTTGACAATAGACTAATGACCAATCACATTTCTCATATCCTTTTCTTTTTTTATTTTCCAAGACAGGGTTTCTCTGTGTACTCTGGCTGTCCTGGATCTCACTCTGTAAGATCAGGCTGGCCTAGAACTCGCAGAGATCTGCCTGCCTCTGCCTTCCCGAGTGCTGGGATTAAAGGTGTGTGGCACCATGCCCAACTCAGTCTCATTCTCTTAACACCCCAAGCCCTTTTCCACTCCTGCCATAAGTTATAGCTAGTAGTACTGAAGATGACACCAGGCACAACATTCTTTCATTCTGCAGGGAACTTTTGGTAACATATTCTACACATGGAGGATATGTTACTTACCTTATTTTAGTTCTCTTTGAGCAAGAGCAGGTACTAAAGTTTTGGGCTAAGGTTCTCCTGAAGTGGCAGGCTTGAATTTTATCTTAGCGTCCTCATATAATCAGTTATAATTCCTGGTATCTTTGTGAGGCCATAAGTTTAGCTTGGCATCACCCAGTCTTTGAAGTACAAGTTGTAGTGGATGAACGCCTTTGAGAATGACTTGATAACTGGGGGAAAGTTATTTATTGGTCAGAGTGGACGGACACTCTGTCTTTAGTCATTGGCTTCCTAGGACACAGGCAGTATGCTTGCCTGACTCACTGGGACTGTGTCTCTGGTAAACTTGTCACTCGGGGATTCTTACTGCTGACAGTGATGGATTTTTATTACACTAAACACTAATTAGTTCTAATTAGAGGCTGTTAGCCTGTTTAAAATGGAACCTTCAAGAACAAGCTTGCAAATGAAAATATTTAGAGGATAAGGCATTTTTGTGGTTCTTTTTTTGGCGAATATTCCTACAAGTACCTCACAAGAAGGTTTAGCTCGGAGGAGACTGTGTTTATATTCAGGAAAAACTCCTCTATCTGCTTGGGTCAGTTTACCAACACTTAATACCTATTAGCTACTGATGGGGGATGTCCTTCTGTATATATGTTTCTCTTATTGGTTGATGAGTAAAACACTGGTCAGGCAGAAAGATAGGCTGGGCTAGGGGATGAGGAGAATGCTGGGAGAGAGGTGCTGTAGAGATGCCAGGCTGCCGAGGGAGTAACATGCCAGATCACCGGTAAGCCACAGCCTCGTGGCAACACATAAATAGATGCGGGTTAATACTTTAGAGAGAGCTAGCCAATCAAAAGCCCAAGCCATCAATCAACAGTTTCATAATTAATATAGCATCTGTGTGTTTATTTGGGGATGAAGGCAGTGGGTCCTGGTGGGACAAGAAAATCTGTAGCAAGCTACAGACTGACAGAATGTAGTCTGGTTCATGTGATGCTACAGCTCTTCGTCATGCTCCCGAGAGGGCCAGCAATCAGTCAATGCTGAGGCCCCATCTGGCTTATCCCAGCCTTCCAGACTCACTGCTAGTTAGTGGTGCACACCTGGAACCCCAACACTCAGGAGACAGAGGCCCTGTTGAAAGTTCAAGGTCAGCCTGGGTTACATAAGATGTTTGAGGTCAGCCTGGGTTACAAACAATGACCTTACTTCAAATCAAAACCAAAAGGGAAAAAAATAGCAAGATTAAAAAACATGCTGAATTTTAAAAAACACTGTAAAGCTCGACTATTATTGGCTTTGACTGAACCCAAATTGTTTGACCAGGGACACCATTCAGCCTTTCTCAACCTCTTCCCTGTCACTCAGCTGAAGGAGACAACTTCTGCTTTATCCACAGCTTAGGTTGCCACAAGAAGCAAGAGCAACGGGAAAAAGCATGGTGAGCTTCCGCGCTGTGGATCGAAATTCATGTACTTTTATGATCTCCACACAAAGGCAGGGGTAAGATGGAAGCAGCAGCTTAATTTATGATTTAATTTACTTTAAAATTTAGGTTTATTTTTGACTGATACATAAAATGCACATATTAACGTTACCATGTGACATTTCAGTGTATCATATTTAGATTGGGTTTAACATCCCTGTCTTCTCAAATATTTAACTGTTCCATTTTGATGAGGATACTTTAAGTCCTATCTTCTAGCTTTTTGAAAGACACAGACACCATCATCATCTACAGTCACCCTTCTCTGGTAACCAGAACCTATACTCATCTGTAGCTGTGACTTAGTTCCAACTGATCAGCATTCTCCCACATACCAGGTTTGAAACTGAAAGCATTTTGATTTTTGGAGCAAGTCAAATATATAAGTTTCTGACTATTTCTCATATTGGTTAACAATCTAAGCAAGATATTTACTTGAAGAAAAAAGAAGTCACGTTTGTGTGGTCAGAAACAAAATAGTATGGAGAAAAATGATAATCTCAGACGGACCATATGGTCCATATTTCAAACCTCTGTCAATTACTTTTGTGGAAAGGACTACTCATGATATTATGAGGTTATAGCAGATATACACTTAAAAATATGTTAACACTGGCAGTTTTTTTATTGTAGTAGATCCAGGTATGATGGTGCACACATTTAATCCCAGCACTAGGGAGGCAGAGGAAGGCAGATCTCAGTGAGTTTGAGGCCATCTTGGTCTACAAAGTGAGTTCTAGGCTAGCCAAAGTTGCACAATGAGACCCTGTCTCAAAACAAAACAAAAAGTCTCTCTGGAATAGATTTAATAGGACAAGCGAAACCTTTTAAATCACTGTCGTAAGTTGAGAGAAGCTTTCTTGTTTCTGTTTTTTCTTATCTGTAATAGGTAAGATCAACAAACAACATGTAGCTCAACAGAACAAGATGACAATCAAATGATTTAGAAATATAGCCACTATGAAGAAGAATATAGATAACATTGTGCAATGTTGGTATGATTTTGCTGGTGACATTCAAGTCCTAAACAAAACAGAACAAAATTCACCGCAAAGGCTGGTAACAGTAATGATGTTCTCAAGGCTCACTTTACCTGTTGAACCAGTCATCTGTGTATCGTGGGTAGGGATAGGGGTCGTTGCTGCTGAAGTCATAACTTGCATCAGAGTTCTGAAAGACACAAGGGATCTCAGGTCAGTAAAGCTGCAAACACATAAAGGGGGCCTGGTGCTTTAAACACACCATCTTAGATTTGTAACTTCTCCTTGGAGGGTTGTGCTGATGTTCAGCATTATTGCATTTACATATATTTTATTATATATTATAACATATTAGATAATGTAATATTACATAACATATATTATTATATTATATATTATGTGCTATTGCATAATATATTACATAATGTATTATATTATTTGCACATATTGCAATCTGTGAAGGCCAGCCCTTGCAAAATTGTGACAGACTTATATGTATGTGTTCTTAAAATCTGTGTCCCCTATTTCAAGCTTTCAAAGACTTAGAAAATGTGAGCCTGGTGTTCTCCAGGTATAGCCTCATTTAAGCTGGGGTGCCTCTGTGTGTTAGCAGACTCCACCTAGAATCCAGGGCTTGTGTTAACCTTCTTTGCTACTTTTGTTCCCTGATGGCCACAACACTTTAGTTCTCATGTCATAACTGAGATAGCTGTTAGCATTTAATTCCTGCTTTATACCAGAGCCTCACTTCCATAAGGCTACTTCACATTGGCCTACTTAAAGTCTTGTCTCCTTTCCCCTCATGTGAACTAACTTTCCCTCCAACGTCTCCTCACATTGTACACAGTTAATCTCATGTATTGTATTTAAAAATACCATGAAGAGTTTAATGTATGTCAGAGACTTAGGTAAGGGTGACAACACAGCATTGGCATCCCTTCCCTTATTCACCTTAGAGGAACAACCAACAAACCAAATGAGTGAACAAATAAACATATCATTGTAAATTTTCATAATCATGTACTGTCACAACCTATAATAGTTATGAGTATGAAATTCTGTCATCCTACAACTTCCTATCTCCATTGTGAGACTTTTGCCAATCAATCATGTACTCAATTCAATCATCTTTAAGTGATTTTATATTTTATACATGTACTTAAGTTCCTAGTTGGTTTGTCTTTTATTTTTTGTCTATACAGTACAGTACCTATTATTATTGAGTGAATAACCCACTCCTTCCCGGCTGCCTTCTCTGCCTTCCCAGGAAGGCTGGCCTGTGGGAATTCTTTTCTCCATTGTTTCTTTGACTTTGGGTTTTGCAAGGAAGACTCCAGATGGCCTCTTGATTCACTTTAGATTAGGAAGGATATTTTCATTCCTTCGTTAGTGTTCCTTGATTTCATGGTTCTGAGACATTTTTAGAAATTGTATGTGCTTCTTTAAGAGGTAAAAATACTTTAGTATGTGACACACTTTAATTTGAAAAGCTAATGTATCCGTGTTGCATGTTTTGGACAGGATATTGACTAATTCCAATTATCCTTGGTTTGACTTGTTAGATGACAAAGAACTTCTGGATACCACTGGTTACAATGATCAGAACTGTAGTACAGAGTGAATGCCTAGAATCTCCAACTGTGGAATATGTCATTCCAACATAGGATGCTATTTGAGAACTGATGAGATGTCAAAAGTAGAAGTAAATTCCACACCTGACCTCTCTTTCATGGTTCAAATGTAGATGTGCGAAGAATATCAAATTACCTTATGAGAAATTCTCAAGGTTTATAAAACATAAGCGGCTTTCATGTGTAGATTGGGTCCCATCTCCCAAACATCTTGTGTGTATGTAACTATTCTCAACTAAAAAAATTCAGTCCCCAATACTTGTGGGCTTATGCATTTCAGATGAGGGATACTCAACTTGTGTGGTAAAATATTATTTTAAGATGTGTGGATTTTGTTTATGCTGTCTTTGTTTAACTGTGAAGCTGAGGTTCTTTGCATGTCTAAAACACCTGGTGGTCTAATAAAGAGCTGAATGACCAATAGTAAGGCAGGAGCAAGGATAGGTGGGCCCAGCAGGTGGAGAGAATAAATAGAAGGAGAACTGAGGAAGAGGAGGAGAAACAAGACAACTGCGGATACAGTGTGACCAGCTGCCTCATGATCCTACTGTCACAATGAGCCAACGTCACCAGCATGCATCCCCCACCATAATGGGCTGTATCTTCAGACTGTGAGCCCAAACAACGTCTTCTTCCTTAAACTGCTTTTGTCACAGCAATGAGAGACGTAACTAACATCTCTTCTAACTCCAGTCTCTCTGCCCTGGCCACAGCCATGAGTAAGTCCCCAGAACTAGGCCCCACTCCCAGCCACACACAGGCTTAGAGCCCAAGTGCCTTCATTCACTTGCGAAGTTTCAGTCTGTCTGATCTATAGTCTGTCTGTGGGGCAACTTGTTCTTTCAGAGTTGACATTTCCCCTTCTTGACTTTCTCTGAGATATTTGTATTCGGTTCTTTTTAAGAAAACTATTTTGAAATAACTTATTTGACTTTCCAAAGTATGTTGTTACTCTTAAATGTCTCTGAAATTTTTAGAAATTGAGCATTCTTAGGTGGAGGGAGTAGGAATATTGAGAGAAACATAAGTGTATATTTATAAATATAGTATGTGTATTTATAAAACTGTATAAATATTCATAAAACTTATATTTACAAAAATATAAAAATTATAAATGTAAGTATAAATATACATAATTTTCTCTTTTCTTTTGAGCTTCAGAGTTGAGACTGAGATTTAAGCAATAGATCTTGAAACACATTTGCTAAGTCTGGTTGGTTTCCCCATAGAAGTGACCAAAATTCTCTGTTATAGAATGAGCTGGCAATAACACTCAGCATGAGTAGCATTTGTGAGGTCCTTGGAGGGAGCCCCAAGCACTGCAATTTTCTTCTGAGCTGTGTTCTTGGAGTGGGGTGGGTACAGGTTGGAATGGCAACTTGATATAGGTTTCGGCTCATTTTATGACAGGGTCATGGATTACAGGTCATAAAAGTTCTGTGAGGTGCCTCATTTTATAATCCCATGGCAGTCCTGCTCTGTACCTCACTGATCCCCATCTCAGAGAAAGAAATAGCAGAATATTCTTGAGATTGGTGAGAGCCAGCTAGCAAGGAGGTTCTGGTGGTCAGTACATTGAAGACTCAGGGGCTGGGTAAGAGCTTCATGAACAGACAACTGATGTCCAGGATGATGGAGAGCTAACACCATGACTGCTACATCCTCCTGCTTCACATTGAACTAGTGTCTGAGGCTAGAGACAGGGAGGACTGGGACACAGATGAGGTGACCAAGACTGGAGTTTTGGTTCCATTAGAGGAAAACAGATTTTCTTTACCTAAAAAAGATTTATCTTTTACTTGTATTTATATGTTTATGCCCAAGGCCAGAGAGCATCGATCTCCTGGGCCTGGAATTATAGGCAATTGTGAACCTGGTATGGGTACTGGGAATCAGACCCCATTTTCTTTAAGTGCCATGGTCACTTGTGACCATGAAGCCACCTCTCCAGCCTCTTCTGTGCTTGCTACCTGAATGACGGTAAACTCTCTACTATGTACATTTCACCTGGGTTTGGGGTTGAGGTCTTTTGGCTTCCATTCCTGGCACCGGAGAAGATACTGCCCTAAGAAAGGTATGAATTAGAAGGAGGGCCTGGGAGATTCTGAAAAACCTGAAACTAAAAAGCCTTGAATCCTGTGGCCACTTTTATAAAAAGAAGAAAGACCCTGTATTGTTTGGAGTCAGATTTTCCCCCTACCTCAGAACAGATGGTGGTTTAGCAAGCCTAGTAATTTTGTGGTTTTATAATGAATTTAATGAGTAAGCCTTAGTTCCTTGGATAAGAGTCTACACTGAACATTAAGGAAGGCAAATAGTGGTTCTACTTGGGCTGTTTGTTTGTTTTCTGGCCCCAAATCTAATAGTTCATAGCAAGAAAGGATAAAAAGCAATACTTTCAAAGGTTCTGTTTATGCTTTTATAGGCAAACCTAATCATTGATCGACTTGAACGAAAATGTGCCTGCTATAAAATTATCTGTGTACAAGAAGTTAAACTGGCCTTGAATTATATTGAGCTTTTCTATGGCAGCCATAGAAAACATTCTAAAGGACGTGACATTGTAGTCAATTGGACGCTCTGATCATTTCAGGTCTAGATAGACACTTTAGATTTTTGCAACTTCTTTATAAAATACATCGTTATATTTTCTTGCTTTAGAAAATACGAGCTGTTCAGCAAATATAATTTAACCTTCTGTGATTCAGGATTGTGGTGATTCAACCATCATTAAAAACTTGAATTGTCATTGTGCCGTCACAGAGGTGAGGAAAGATTGGGCTGAATACAGGGTGACCTCAGGGCTTCCCTAGAAGCCACTTCTGGGAGAAACTTTGGAATACAGCTCTTTTTCTCTTCTTAAAGTTCATTGTAGGGAGAGGGGGACAAACACCTCTGGTGTTTCTGGCAATTCAAAAACCAAAGACTGAGTTTTCAAACATATGAATACACAGAAAGTAAGACTTACTTTGCTCTTAGCTATGTAGTTCAATAATTAGAGTTCTAGCCAATGTTAGCTTCATACACTAGTCAACGTGTGCACGGAGGACAAGGGAGGTACTTATTCCCACAGCCTCCTGTTTCTCAGATGCGAAGGCTGTGTTTGTGTGGCCATCCAAGGTTCAGACTGACCAAAGGCACACTTCAGACACTGAGGCTAGTGTCACTGGGAAACCTGGGAGAGAGATGGGTCTCTTGAGCTCAGGGATAACTGTGCTCACTGTTTTCATGTTATAGTGAAGTCCAGAAGCCCTAGGTTGAAGGTAGATCCATCCTACCCTCAAAGCTAGACTTGAATGTCTCAGGACCCAGGGGGCCCTTCTGGTCAGGCTGCCTGAGACTCTCCAGTCTTCATTTAGCGGCCTAGTTTTCAAGGGAGAAGTGTCAAAGTCTTGGATCTAGACTAGGGTTGGCTCAGAAGGATACAATTCAAGGATACTTGGAGTGCAGCTGGTTCAATACCCTCTCTCTGTCTCTCCTGACCCCCACAGAAGAATGTAGTTTGTTACTTATTTAGTATGAAAATATTCACAATGTACAAACAGCTTTTACATATCCG